GGGAGGGAGGGAGGGAGGGAGGGAGGGAGAGAGAGAGCTGGTCTTGTGCTTACCTGAAGGTCAGAAAATGCTCATTTGCACATTTTGTAACAGGTGATAAGATGAGGGCATTGACTCCTTCATAAGCTGTTGGTGCTTAGGCCCACACTTAGTGTCTGGCTCCAGCACAGTGACTGCAAAGTGCAGCAGCCTCGCTGGAGCCAGTGGCAACTTAGCACAAGTTAGAGGAGGTGACTGACAATACTGGGATTTGAATCTCAGTTTTTCAATACCAGAAACTACAGCTTCTATCATACCATGTAGTTTTCAGTTCTATTATCTAGTTGTAAGGGAAGCAAGAGGTGTGATCAGCATCTGATGGTGGCTGTGAAAGAAGAGCATTGAGAGGTAAGAAGTGTCACAGACGAGAGAGGGGACTTCAGAATTAAGCTTTATTTTAAAGTAATAGATTGTCTCTTCAGTAATATTTGTTTTAATCTTGTTACAGCAATTACATTAACTTCATAAAAATAATTAGACCCTGGATAATCTCAGATGCATCTATAATTACAACAGAGGCCTCATCCAAGTCACCCACCCTTGTCCAGGTCTAGGATCACATCACTGCACTTGATTCCATTGTGTTAAAGCAAGGTTGCCTCATTGCCTGGATATTGAAACAGAGTCCAGGTACAGGGCAGGTTATTCCTAGGGACCAGGGATAAGCATCAGATACTTCTCTATTGCAAGTTTTCAGTGGCCTTGCTTCCCTTACATCATAAGATAAAATCTTATGCATGGTTTGGTACTTTGGAAGGTAGTATCCCTCCAGATCGTAAGTGGCTTGGCCAGTCAAGAGAGTAGAAAGTCAATTTGGAAAGGTAAGCGCCCCCGAGGAGTCCAGCATCCAAGGAAGTTATTCCGATTATTCTGCCTTTGTATGAGACTTGGGTCTTCTCTCTCGCAGTTTTCAGTGGCCTTTCTTCGTTCTGTATATTTATTATAGTAATGTCCTAACTGTAATATGATGTAGGGAGCTTCTTTTCTGGTTCTATTTGGTTTTCTGTATGCCTTTTGTACCTACATGGGCATTTCTTTCCTTAGAATTGGGCAGTTTTTTTCTATAATTTTATTGAAAGTATTATTTATGCCTTTGGTTTAGGATTCTTCTTCCGTTTGGTCTTTTCATCGTGTCTCAGAGAGGATCTTGCATGTTCCTGACAAGTTTTAAAAACTTATCATCTATTCAACTGAATGATCTAAGTACCTGCTACTTAAATCCTGGTATTCTGTCCTCTTTGTTGAGGCTTTCTACAGAGGTGTTTATTTGGTTTATTGAAATTTTCATTTTTAGTATCATTTCATTTTTTCTATCTCTTTGTTAAATTCTATTTTCATATCCTGAATTGATGTCCTTATTTCATTCAGATGTTTTTGTTGTTGTTGTTTTCTTAGAATTAATGAGGAGATTATTTGTAACCTCTTTGAATTTGTTCATGAGTTTATTTGTGCCTGCTTTAAGATCTTTGTATAGAATTAAAGCCATTCTTTTGAATCATTTGTCTGAAATTCCATCTAAGTCACTGTTGTTGTTGGCCATTTGTATGAGACTATCAATTTTTTGAGGATACATTTACAGTCTAAAGAATAGGAAAAAAAATGTTTGACAACCATACATTGACAAAGAATTAAAAACTAAAGTCCAAGGAAACAAACAACCCAATTAAAAAAAAAAAAAGGGCTATGGGACTGAACAGAGCTTCCTTAAAAGAAGGACTACAGGTGACTAAGGAATATTCTGAAAAAGTATTCACCATCCTTAGCCAAGGTACAACCACTGTGGAAATCATTGTGGAGGCTTCTTAGAAAGCTAGAAACAGAACTACTATAACACTCCTGGGCATATACCCAAAGGACTGTATCCTACCACAGAGAGACGTCATCCATGTTCACTGCTGCTCTATTCACATTGGTAAGGGAATGGAAACAGCCCAAATGTCCAGCTACTGATGAATGGACAATGAAATGTGATACTTACACAATGGAATTTTATTCAGCTCTGAAAACATGAAACTATGACATTTGCAGGTAAATGGATGGAACCAGAAAAAAAAAAAAAAAAACCCACACCATATGAGTTAATCTAGACCCAGGAAGACAAATGCTACATGTTCTTTCTCATATGTGGACCCTATCTTTGAATCTTAAGACAGATCATTGATCTGAGGCAGTATTAGCAGCCAGGACAATAGGAAAGGGCCATAGGGTGGTGTTGGGGGAATGTTTTCCAGAGAGAGAGTTATAGAACACAGGGCTTTTTATGCTGCTATTTTTCCATTGGGATTTGTGCATCTGGAGTTAGTTTGTGGAAGCTTTCTGGCACACCTGAATTGAATGAGCATTTGTTCTAGTGCTTGCTATTTCTTGGCTGGGCTCAGGCATAGAGAGTTTTGGTGTTGATTTATGGATGGGGTAGTTGATGGAGGGCATAGCCTTTGGCCTCATAAACAAGAGTCAGTGTAGGGTATGTGTGAGGGGGATGGGTTTGCACTAAGGGCAGCAGTTTTCCATCTTGTCTGATCTTTGGAGCTAGGGTTCAGAAGGTGCTGTGGAAGTGTGCATTGGAGCTGGACATCCTGCCACCTCTAACTTCACTAGCTGGGGCATATACAGAACATGGTGTGTATGTACCAGGTGTTGGTGGATCATGTCCTCTTGCCTCCTTGGTCAGGGAGTGTGTCCACCAGCAAAGGTGGGTTACATTCTTCTGACTTCAGAAGTCTGGGTTCACCAAGGTGAGGGAGGCTGTGGTGAGTCAGGGAGGTCCAGGGACCCCTCGCCTGCATGCCTGGGGCAAACATGCTTAGTGACCAAAGTGTGCGCTGATGGAAAGGTGTCCTGGGAGTCCTTGTCTGAGCTTAGTGCTGACCAGACAGCAGAAGTGTGCACTGAAGGGAGAGGGTCTACAGACCCCTCACCTGTCTGCACCAGAAGCTGGAGGGGAGGCAGAAATATGTGCAGGAGGCAGAGGTTACAGGAGTTCCCATCTGGGTGCTCTGGGAGCTAGGAGAAGTGTGGGCCAGAGGCTGAGAATGCCAGGAGGCCTCACCTGTGAGCACTGGATAAGCACTGGGAGCTAGGAGGGGTGAGAGAAGTGTAGGTTAGGGTTTGGGGGTCAGAGATTTATCACTTGTTGGTGTCAGGAGCTGGGAATCTGGCCTAAGCATGGTCCAGAGGCTGAGGATCAGGAGATCCCCTACCTGCTTGCCGAAGTGTCGGCCGGTGGCTGAGCGTCTAGAGATGCCCTACTTGGTGCAGGGAGCTGGAAGCACTGCTAAATTTCTGATTTTTTTAAGCTGATATATTAATGTTAATTTGTTATGGCAGGCTTAGGAAACTAACACAAGCTTAAAAATCCAACTATAGGCTAGCTGAGTGTTAAAGCATAACAGTCTCTGTTCCCACCCATCCTTCAAGCTCTTCTCACTTTTTATTATGTCTGTTTCCATCATCAAGATTTAGGATCTTGGTCTCCTTCTTGCCTTTGTACGGGGCCCGAAGTGACACTGGCCGCTTTAACAGTCTTAAAGCAAGCTCCAGGAATATCATCTTTCCAACCAAATCCGGCAACCAGCATTCATCATTCTCTCAATGAAGTTCGGTCAACCACCACTGGGCACGAAGACCGTGATTTTGTTGTTCTTGACGAGCTGCACCCAAACACTTCCTGATAGCTGAGTTTGATGGTTTAGCTTCAACCTCTCCTTTTTCCAGCACAGTTCCCTTTGCATGAGAAGCACCTCCAAGCCAGCTGGCTTTAGGGTTGTGCCCAGATGGGTTTTCTTGTGTTGTTCATTGTGCCGGCTTTGGTCCTGTAGGTGACTATAGAGCTTCTGGGAGGCACCTAGACCACTACTCTTACTCATCCTGCTGGCGCCACAGGCCTGAGCAAAATAGTGTCACTTGTTTTAAGTGCAGCTTAAAAGCTTCTTTTAGTTACCACTAGATTTTTTTTTTAAATTTATTTTATTCTTTTTTTTTTATGTGGATGAGTGTATTGCCTGAATGCATATAAGTGCACCTGTGTTGTCCAGTGCTCATAGAGGTCAGAAGAGGGTGTTTGTTTCCCCTGGAATTAGAGTTAGGATGGTTGTTAGCCATCATGTGCATGTTGGTAATCAAACCTGGGTCCTCTGCAAGAGCAGCCAGTGCCTCTAACTGATGAGACATCTCTTCAGCTCTCACCGCTAGCTTTTTAAATATCCATGTACACTGCTACTTTTATTTTATTTTATTTTTTTATTTAATAACCACATCATTAGAAGAAGCATTTAATTCCACCTTTAACATATTCAGTAACAATTTCCAGAGCAAGGATACGTCTCTTTCAAAAGTGGCTGTAAATTTTCAGGTTCACAGTTGAATTAATATGGTTATACAATATTGAACTCAGTATAAACCCTGTAAGACATAAGATTGAATGGGTTTTTATGAAGATCTCCATTTCATTTTAAAATACGCTGTTTCCTACATATTTAATGCTACTAATGCTTAGATGCTTGCACATGTGTCTTCAATCTCTATGTATCTGATCATTACTAGTCATAGTTGGTTACACTTGGATCCTGGGCACCTGGGTATGGATATAAAGTCATCAGGTAGATTTCAATGGTAATGTTTATCAACTCTACTAATTAACATGAAGTAAATTTTTATGCTTCCTCCTCAAATACATCTTTTTAAAAATTTGTTGTTTTTTTGTGTATATATCATACAGAACATCCCACACAATCTTATTCATCTATAAACCCACTTCTGAAATGGCACCCTCCCATAGCCTCCCCCTTCCCACACACTGGAGCCCATATACTCTGCCATCCCTGTTACTGTTCACTGTGTTGTCAGCACCCCCAGCCATTCCCCAGTGCTGTTGGTCTGCTGAATCTAGTCAGCCTCTCTAGAGATCCTTGTTTTAGGAAGATAAGCTGTTCCTCATCTAGCAGCAATCAGTTGTCAATATTCCTTTAGAAAAGATTGAGGTCTGCTGTTCATTTTCCCAGTTCTATGGTAGGTTACTATCTGGGAGTCTTTTGGGCCACCCTGGCCAACAACTCAAGGGAAGGTATCTCCTGTCTGGCATTGTTTCTTATTATGCAGCCTTTAGCTATACATATGGACTCTTAAAAATTTATATTAGCCCCTTTAATCTTTGGTTATACTTTCCTTTTGGGTGTCTAAGGTTATTTTATGTGTATGCTTCCACCTATGTGAAGATAAGTCAAAGGTCCTGCTTGACCATGGTTGGCTTCACTTGGAAGCATGGAGGAAATGATTCCTAAGTGTTGACTCTTTTCTTTGTAGACTGGACACTGGTTCAAGTCCATCTGGTGGGGTCTCCTCAGCCTCCTTGATGAAGAGGACAGGTGACTCACCACAATTACAGGACATTTTCAGAGGCAAATATTTTCTCTTTTTCCTTCTCCTGTCCTTTGTGCTCGTTGCTCTCAAAGCCAGTTTGTACAGATACTACTCTGTAACCTTGGGATCTTTTTTTTTTTTTTTTTTTTTCGGTCTTTTTGAGACAGGGTCTCCCTGTAGCCCCAGCTGTCCCGGAACTCACTATGTAGACCAGGCCGGCCTTGAGCTCACAGAGATCCACCTGCCTCTGCCTAGGATTTTTTTTAAAAATCTGTTTTCTTTTTCTTTTAAAGATTAAATTTTTTTCTAAATATCATACATGAGTATACTCTATGCATCATTTCCATCCTTCCCAGTCTCCCTCCAACTCCCATGTTTTCTTGTCTTCTTCTTTTATTATTGTTGTTACATATAACACACTTATTTGTAATTTTTATATATACGTGTATATTATTTATACACACATATAGTGCACTGAGTCCATTTAATGCACCACCACAGTGGTGCTCCTGTGTCCTGTGTATTTGTGTTTAGGGCTGCCCACTTGGAATTCGGAAAACCTCTCTGGAGAAAACTGATTCTCCTTCTCTCGCTATTCATTGATTGCCTGTAACTCTTCATCTTGAGGTGGGACCTCTTAGAATTTCCTCTATCCACCTTGGTATGTCAACAAGTTTTGTCCTTATACGTGGATCTCGTTAGATTACCATCGTGTGGAGATTTCATTGCTGCAGCTTCTCTGTCACATCTAGAATGCCTTAAGTAGCAGCAAGTGTCTTGTCCCGTTGGCTCTTACATTGTATCCACCCCCCTCTTCCATGATGTTCCCGAGCCTTAGGTGAAGATGTTGCATTGTAATATGTCACTTATGTCTGGGCGTTTTCACCAATTGTAGAACTTTGTAATGGGCTCCATCTGTTGCAAAAAGAAGCTTCTTTGATGAGTGGTGAGAAGTACACTTGTCTATAAAGATAAGGATACATGTTTAGAATATAGCAAGAAATTACGTAGTGTAGGGAAATGCTAGAAGTAAGTTCTTCTCTCAGGTCTATGACCTCTCCAATCATGTGTACTTGGCTATGTTTATAGCACCATTGCATAAGCTCCCTCCCATTAAGTGGACCATTAAGTCCCATTAAGTCCAGTTAGACAGCTGTTGATTACCCCCAAGATAAAACTGACACTACTGCACCAATAGAGATTATTTCCTGGGCTGGTCATTGTTGTGGTTCATAGACTTTGCAGCTGGATGGGATCATTGATTGGTTTTCTCCCTTGGCAGTTTGTATAGTATCCTCTGATACTATGAGAGCTAGTCTTCAGGGAGGAGGCTTCCAGGTCAGTTCCAGCTCGATGGCTCCAACTCCTGTGGCCATGTTTTGTCTTCAGCAATAGGGTCTTACCTTCAAATTCTGGGAGGCAATTAAGGACTGTGGCAACAGCCTGTATTACTTTGGGAGATGCTTGGACTACACTGACTGACAACTTGAAGAGAGGTTTCCCTTGCCTGGCATTTTGATTTTTATTATGTAGCCTTCAGTCAAACACATGAACTTGTGTATATAGTGTATGTGCATTTTTAGTAGGCTTATAAACGAATACATTTCCCTTTGGTTTTTCACACCACTTAAGCATCATTTATCTCCTCTCTCTCTCTCTCTCTCTCTCTCTCTCTCTCTTTCTCTCTCCCCCCTCCTGTATAGTTTTCCCTATTCACTCCCCAGTTAACATATCATCCATCTCCCCCATTTCCCCCTTGATAACACCTGTCTCCAACTATCCGCCCTCTCTCAAGCTCCTTCTTTCTTTCATCTCTGTAGTTCCTTTCCATTTTCCTGGCTCCCGTTGTTGCATTAAGATTTTATATATACAAATATATGTGTGTGTGTATATATATATATAATATTCATATTTAAGGTTTTGGAGCTAGAATCCGTAGCTGGGAGAGGACTTGCATTACTTGTTTTTCTGAGTCTGGCTCGCCTCATTAGTATGACAGTTTCTAGTTCCATCGATTTATCTGAAATTTTTTTTTCTCCTCATTTTTTTTCTTTACCACTGAGTAGAGTACCATAGTGTAAATGTACCACATTTTCATTATCCGTTCATCAGTTGAGGGGCATTTAGGTTGTTTACATTTCCTAGCTTTTTCGAAAAGAGCAGCAGCAAACATGGCTGAGAAAGTATCTCTGTAATAGGTTATTTAGTCATTTGAGTATATGCCAAGGAGTGGTATAACTAGATTATAAGGTAGATTTATTTTTAGATTTTTAAGAGTTCTCTGTACTGGTGGGGTGTGGTGGCACATGCCTTTAATCCCAGCACTCAGGAGGCAGAGGCAGAGGCAGGCAGATCTCTGTGAGTCCAAAGCCAGCCTGATCTACATAGTGAGTTCCAGGACAGCTGGGGCTATAGGGAGACCCTCTCTCAAAAGACAGGAAAAGAAAAAAAAAAGAGTTCTCTCTACTAATTTCCATAGTGGTTGCATCAGTTTGCAATCTCCCCAGCAGTGAAGGAAGGCTCCCCTTTCCTCACATCCTTGCTAGCAGTGGGTTCTGGGGTCAGAACTCAGCCCACCAATTTTGTTTAACAAGCACTTTTACCTACTGTGTTATCTCCCCAGACTAAAGACAGAGTCTTATTAAAAATAACTACAAGACCATTGTTCCGTGCTGCCAAATGTTAGTGCTTGTGAACGTTTCCGTGGCTTAATTTGTTGTTTAAATCAGGGATCCAAAGAAGGTTCATACTTTTTAGCAGATTGATATGTCTCTTAATTCTCTCATTTTAAAATATAATATAATATTTTTATTAATTCTGTGAGACTTTCATGTATGCATGCAGTGTATTTTGATCATACTCATACCCAGCTCCTCCCGTAACTCCTAGATCTACCCCACCCCTTCACTCCTCCTTCCTACTTCATACCCACCTCTTTTTAATTTTTTTTTGTCTTTTTTTTTTGAGACAGCGTCTTCCAGTAGCCCCAGCTGGCCTGGAATTCACTATGTAGACCAGGCTGGCCTTGAACTCACGGAGATTCACCTGCTTCTGCCTCCTGAGTGCTGGGATTAAAGGCATATGCCACCACGCCTGGCTCTTTTTAATTTTTTAAAATACCCCACTGAGTCCAAATTGTGCTACCCATATACCCGTAAGTGTGGGGAAATCTCTCATTTTTGAGTTCTTCCCTTCCTTCTATCTCTTTTTCTCCCTTGTAAAATATTTACAGAAGAAAGTAAATTACTTGCTGTAGGTTTTTCCTGTGGTCTGGATTTTGCTGGATGTGTTTTTATGTTGTCATTTAACATGTTCCTATTTCCTCATATTTCCTGTAAACTGGAGATATAGCTTGCTAGTAGAACATTTGCATAGCACAAGCCAAAAGGCAGAGAGAGAGAGAGAGAGAGAGAGAGAGAGAGAGAGAGAGAGAGCTGTAGCCCCAACTGTCCTGGAACTCGCTATGTAGACCAGGCTGGCCTCAAATCCACAGAGATCTGCCTGCCCCTGCCTCCCAAGTGCTGGGATTAAAGGCATGCACCACCACACCAGTCAAAACCAAAAATATTTTTATACTCGATACATTACAAACATTTTCTGCATGACCTAATGTAGTCTTAGAACATGCTTTTAAATGATTTATAGAGCTGTTGACTGCACAAATGTGTGATTTTCAAGGCAATTCCTTATTGTTAGACATTTAGGTTGTTCCTAATTTTTTGTTAGCACATACAACTCACTGATAAAATTCTTGTGGACTAATCACTTTCTGGCCCAACTCCTCACCCTTCTGTCAGTTCCTGCGGCTGGTGGATGCCTGTGCTAGCTTCCTCACAGAAGCCTTGAACCCAGAAAATTGTATTGGAGTACTGAGGCTGGCAGACACACACTCTTTGGACAGTTTAAAGAAGCAAGTTCAAAGTTACATCATCCAAAACTTTGTGCAGATTTTGAACTCTGAGGAGTTCCTTGAACTTCCTGTGGACACCCTGTATCATATCTTGAAGAGTGATGATCTGTATGTGACTGAGGAGGCTCAAGTGTTTGAGACTGTAATGAGCTGGGTCCGACACAAGCAGTCAGAACGACTCTGTCTACTGCCTTGCATCCTGGAGAATGTGCGTTTACCGCTTCTGGACCAGTGTTACTTTGTGGAGATGGTCGAAGCGGATCCTCTCATCAGGCAGTGTCCTGAGGTCTTCCCACTGCTTCAGGAAGCCAGAATGTACCACCTTTCTGGCAATGAGGTGAGTTGGAGATGAGAGATAATTGCATTTCACCAGCAAGGTGAGGAGTTAACCAGGGGCTGTCAGAGATGCTTGTGACGCTTGTTCACAATTCCTCAGGGACACCAAGTAGAAGGTGCTGCATTGTTCATAGGGTGAGCCGAGTCCTTCCAGAAGCCAGGGGTTCCTGGTCTGTGTAATGGGGATGACCTTGCATTTCACACAGTTATTGAGAAGATTAAGTGAGAAATGGAAACCACTTCACTCTGTACCTCTGCCCATCTGTGTAAGGGCAGGAGGTTGGTCGGGGAAAGTGCACACACAAACAGGACTGTGCCCTGTCAAATCACCATTCTGAAGGATTCTGCTTTCTCAGTTTTTTCACTCTGGTGAAAATTGGTATCACTTGATCTAGTCTGACATTGCCTAGATTTAGACTCTCTTGATTTCCTTCCTGAATTTCTGGAAATTCTTTCGTATTTGCCCCTATGCTCCTAGTCTGTCCTCCAACCTTTGCCTACCACTGGGATGATCTAGAATGTAGCTATGCGCATTCTGCTCTCGGGTCTACCTTTTCACTGGTGCTCTATCACTTTCAGGAAGAAGCCCACATTCTCCTAATATTCCCAGAGCCTGTCCACTCTCTGGCATCATTTCCACTTACCTCTTCTGCTATGGTTTTGATGCACTGCTTACAGTTCCCCATGTGACTGTGCTTTTCCAGCCTTCAGGACAATGCAGACACTGTTTAAATGCCTCCTTCTTCTGCCTTCTACTTCTACTGCAAAATTTAGCTGAAGGTAGGCTACCTTCTCCAGAAACCCTTCTGTATTCTTGTGGCCCTTGACTCAATCTTTAATCATGACACCAACTGCCATTGAATTTATCATCTGTAAATACCTCTAATCCAGCAGCTTGTTGTAGGAAGTAGGTTCTTACTGAAATTTTCATCTCTAGATCTTAAGAGAAAATTTCTGATGCATTGTGAGTAGTTGGTGTTTACTGAATGATTAAATGGATACCAAGAAAGTGACTACACATGGCATTTGGTTCTACCTCATCCTATTTAACAATCTCTAAAAGAATGGTTTACGTAGAGATTTGTAAACACAAGAGCAAGTGTAGTAGAGAGGAACCAGATCATTAGGAAGCCATGATACAGGGGCTGTTGATTTGCACACATGAAACCCCACAAGTGAGTGCCAATCACTGCACAGAAGTTCCAAGATTAGCCACCAAATTTCATCTGCAGGCCACTGGGAGAAACCTCGGGTAAAAGCTGTTCAGAAACCACCGCAGACTCCTCTAGAGCTTCTTTCTTTTTCTGTGTGTATTTTTTACTTCGTTGTTGTTCTTAGGTCTACTGTTTATTCATTCACTCTGCAAATCTGTCCTTAAACGCTTGACAGCATACCAGAGCCTGGGTTTTCTTTGAGAGGTTTTTACTTCAAACTGCATCTGTTTAACAGACGCCATGGTACCTGGGTTATCTTATTTCTCCTCAAATGAGCTTTCAGACATTTTCCATTCTGTGGAAGTTGTTTATATAAAGTTGCTCATAGTTTCCCCTTATCATCTTTTACTATCTATGGAATCTGTAGTCATGTGGCATTTCTCACCCCAATATTGTTTTTACTGGTACGTGTGTGTGTGTGTGTGTGTGTGTGTGTGTGTGTGTTTACCACCCAACTCAATCTGGCTAGATGTATTACCAATTTTATTGATTTTTATCAATTAACTAACTTCCAGTTTCATTGTATTTTCTCCATTGTTTTTGTTTAGTCTTTCATTTCCCTCTATTTTAATCTTGATAAAATTCTTTTTCTGCTGTTTTTTTTTTTGTTTTTTTGTTTTTGTTGTTGTTGGGGATGGCAACCTTGTTCTACACTGCCAGTCGGCCTAAAGAATGTCAGCATGGGGGGAGGGGGGTTGAGGGGAGGGCAGGGAGCGGAGAAGGCTGGACGTTTTTTTGGTCTTTTTAGTCCCAACTGACTTGGCACTCACTATGTAGACCAAGTTGGCCTCAATCTCACAGAGATCTGCCTGCCTCTGCCTCTGGAGTTCTGGGATTAAAGGCGTGCACCACCACACCCCACTTTCTAGTTTCTTAAAGTAGAAGTTTAGGACATTGATTTGGAGACCTTTTCTTGTTTCTGCATATCAGTCATTGTAAGATGAACTGCCTTAGTATTTGACACTTTAAAACAGCAGACAGGGATGCAGATCAGTGCTTGGGTTCTTGCCTAGTATGTGCAATGCCCTGTGTTCAATCCCAGCACTGAAAAAGGAAAACAAGGGAAACAACTGGTTTTGTTTATATGGATGGTTCTGGCTGGAAGTTCTTACCAGGTTTCAGTCAGTCTAGTACCTACCTTTTGGCTGGGGCTGAAGCAATATCAGAGTTCAACTCCGGTCAGAGAATTCACTTGTTGCTCATTCACATTGTTACTGGCAGGCATCAGCTCCTTGCTAGCTAAGGCCGCAGTTTCTCGCCTTGTAGCCATCTCCATATCAAATGACATTCATTGGGAGCAAATGATCAGAGCAAAAGACTGAGAGAGCAAGCAAGATGAAAGCTGTAGTATCTGATAGCCTGATGGATCACCACTCTGGCGTTAGTCTTTTGGTCAGAGAAACCAATTCTGGAACAGTGTGGAAGGAACCACATGGGCTCTGAGTTCTGGGAAGGAGACATTATGGAGGCCATCATGGAGAACAGATACCACAGTGCTTTAGACTGTAGAAAATAACCTGTACCAGGGTCCTGGGTTACCTGTCTTCCTCGTGCATTCATTCAGACTCACAGAAGCCCTCCAGCTCCAGGCACTGTTCTTGGTGCTGAGAACCCATTAGAGAAAAAGGACTGTCTTCATAGTAAATTTAAGGCTGAATGAAAAGTGATGTGATGGACAAATTCAGATTTACAGGAACATGGAAGTCAGGAATGGTTAACTGATAAAGGGATAGAGTGTGCCTGGAAGTAATTCATAATGGTTTAAAACGGTGAATGGGTTGGGCAGCATGGAAAGTGGATGGCAGGTGTCATGGAGAGAGCCAGGCAGCTGTTAGGAGTCCAGAGTTCCTATTGGTGCCCATTGTCTAGCAGGTTACTGAAGCAAGGTGGCAGGCATTGTGAATAGACAGAAGACTTTGGAGAAAAGGCAAATGAACCAATTATCAGAACTCAAGTAAAGGCTGCAAGAGAACCAATCTGGAAGGCATTGCCCAGGACACCAAAATACTCACAGAAAAAGAGGATCAGTTTGTTTTGGAGGTTGTGAGGAGGGGAGGTTTGGGGACAGAAATCAGGCTGATAACAGGGAGAAGGGCACAGAGAGCAGGGTTTCTCTTTGGTAACAAGTCATTGTTCAAACCCTACCCACTAGTTTGGTACCTTCAAATGTCTTCAGGCTCCCTGGACCATGCTCTTGTCTTCACCACAGTCTTTCTACCACTATTTATGCTTTTAGCTTCAGTCTATTACTGAGGACTGTCCTGCCAACAGACTTCCCCATCCTTTCTCTGGATTCACAACTAGGAGACCTGCCACAAATGTTATAGCCATAGTCCAACCTCACAACTTGGAGATGCAAAATTTACTAGATCTGGCTCTTTGGGATAGAAAAAAACCCCCGAAGTAATAGAAAAGTAGAGGTGAGGTGCTGTCTGGTGTTGTGTTAACTTTTCTTGGGGAGGCACAAAAAAAAATCACCAGATTCAACCCAGATAGGGCACCAATGGTAGACCAAAGTAATGATTCAAGTAGGTGAACAAATGAGTTCGTTGGACTTACAGAGAATGGGTAAAGGGTTACTTACAGGAGTGTGGGTGACCCCTCAACACCTACATTGCTGCAAAGTCTCCACTCATTATGGATGATGACCGCATGCAAGCTGCACCATGGAGTCCCACTTTCAGTTAATCATCGATTTCCTATATTCAAGTATCTTTAAGATCACATACAGCTACGGGAAGGAAGGAAAGGAATAATGGCTGGACTCTCAGGTGAGGGGCCTGTGACCTTCCCCTCTTCTTTTTCCTAGGCAGAATCAATAAAAGTATCAATGATCATTACCGAAGACCCAGATATCGCTGGAATATGTAGTGTGCTTGGCACAGGCCCTGGTGTATAATAGGTGTTAGATCACAGACCTTCTAGCCACACTTTTCCCAGAAACAAAGAGATCATTTCCTTCCCCACCCGCTCTTCTCTGGGACAGAGTTCATAAGAAAGCAAATTGTGATATGACCTTGCAGCCCCACATCCTTGAAGCTTCAAGACAAGTTTATGGTCCTACCTAGTGCCCCCTGCACATCCCTTGGCATGTAGGTCAGGCCAGGCTAGGTTACATGGTATGAAGCTTGCCTATCCACCTGAAAATCCGTGAGTCAGAAATACCCTTTCTTTTCAGGATTTGAAGCAAAAGCTCCCCACGCCTCTCCTTTTTAAAGCCTCCATTATGGCTGCCTATGGCTATGATGTCAAAGGCCTGCTCTCCCTTTAGGGCCCATCCCCTAATAAAACTTTTCTGAAGTACCCATCTTATGTCAGCTCCACTCAACCTGCCATCCTGTTTTTTTTTTTTTTTTTTTCAACATTATAGCAGTAGGTTATATGTTGCTTTGATTTTCATTCCAGGATTTTAAATTTCAGACCAGGTAGGAGAGAAGATGCAAGACGTGCATTTGATGGTGAATAGACTCCGTCTTCTCAAAACAGCAACAAAAATACAGGCAATATTTACTCAGACCTATCATGTACCAGGCCCTGGGCTAGGGACATTTCATGTATTATCCCACTTAATACAACAAACATATTATGTAGTTAAGGTAAAAATTCCCATTATGCAGATGATGAAATGTAGGGTGGAGGAGGTGAAGTCACATGGCAATCCAGTGCATTTGGGAATTATGACTGCTCTTTGTGGCTCCGCAGCCTGAGCTCTGGGCTATCATGCTGTATTCCCTCTGCCTACATGACCTCTTGTTGATTTCCAGATTATTTCAGAGCGCACCAAGCCCAGGATGCACGAGTTCCAGTCTGAGGTATTCATGATCATCGGTGGCTGTACAAAGGATGAGCGATTTGTGGCAGAGGTAACCTGCCTGGACCCCCTGAGGCGCAGTCGCCTGGAGGTGGCCAAGCTCCCATTGACAGAGCATGAGCTGGAGAGTGAGAATAAGAAATGGGTGGAGTTTGCATGCGTGACATTAAAAAACGAGGTCTACATCTCAGGTAAGAAGGAGGCTGGTGAGCCAAAGCAGTCCTCCAATAGCATTCCTAAGTGAAAGCTGCCAGCAACTACCCTGCAAGGATGACTGAATTCACAAGGACCTAGCTCCGACTGGCTCAGGTGGAGCCAGGAGCTCAGGTGCTCTTATATTGGAGAATACATTGTTACCTAATAGATCCTAGAATGTGAGCATCATTGTACTAGGATCTATGAGGACAGCTCCAGCCCTCATGGAGAAGGAAAAGGAAAGTGGTGTTAGGATTTGTTCAGCATCTGCTACACCTGGATTTAGGTGTGAAGCAGTAAATGAAAATGTCTGATTGTTGCTCAGTTATTAAGAGTTATTTGTGCCTGTCTTCACCTTAGACTCAAAATTCCATACCCCTGTACATCTTGGCACTGTGCCTGTCCTCAGAGTAAAGCTCAGTGAATATTTATTGAATGGCATAACCTCCACCATCTTTACTGCAGAGTAAATGAAACTGTACTATCAGGATATTGAATTGCTCACCAATTACAGCAAGGGAAGGCAAATTAAAGTCAGAGAGAACAAGGCTCAGATTGCAGGATGTATTGGAGGTTTAGCCCTTCTGTCAGGCAGGATCCCAATCCAGATGCTAAGCCCAGGTCCCAGTCTTTCTCACTAGCATCCAAAGCTACCTGGATCTTCTTAGATCCTAAAGGAGGAGGTAATCAATCTGTGCCTGCCCCCATGGAGCCAATGTCCTCCAAGATCAAGGGTAATTAATGTCAGCTCTTCTTTAGATATGTTCATGCCATTGATTATAAATTTCTTTTATACTGTAAGTTGTGGGATTTAAACAACATAGAGACTGGAAAGTAAAATATGGAAGTTTCTCTGTTCCATGATAATTCAATATTTTAAATTTTTTAATAAAAACAGCTTTATAGTGTGTTAGGGTAAGCAATATGAGCTACTATAACAAGTTCTAGGTCTTATTGAATGAATCAACACGAGAATATGTTGGGAGGTGGGGTCGGGAGTCTGCTCTACACAGGCATTCAGGGACTTGGGTTCCTCCTATTTTTTGAGACTGTCATTTCGCACGTATGGCCTTCCTTTAGTAAAGAAACAGAAATTGAATGAGAAAATGAGAAAACACATTGGCTCCATAAAAGCCTTAGCCTGGAAAGGCCACACTGTGTCTGCTAATAGGCCACTGGTAAAATCTAGCCACATGCCTTGCTTCCCCAGCGTAGATAAGGGCTTGGCAATGTAGTTCAGTTATCCGTCCAGTTACTGGTCATCAGAATACGTCTTTGATGCACACACTGTACATAATACAGTACAACCTGCCCTTCTCTTAAATTTGCTATTTTTTTGTAATGATACAAGGAGTACATGAAAGCATGCTTGTCTTAAACAGTTAAAGTACAGAAACGTATACTTTCACTGACAGCACAATCTGGATATCATTGAATGTTGTTTTAATGGATCTATGCATTAAGTGGCACAACACACGTGAAGCACAGCACAAGGCCGAGTGTGTTATGAGAGCTTGTGTTATGAGAGCTTGTGTTATGAGTGTGTTATGAGAGCTTGATGGCTTTAGCCACGCCCTCACTGCTGTTCTTTTTACCAGCTGTAAGGTGGTCTGTTAACCTGATGAACCACATCTCTCTCTACTTTCTTTCTTTTGGTAAGCTCCTTGAAAAAAATACCACAGCAGACACTTTTATACACAATAGTTTATAAATTTGTGGAAAGGCTCCTGGAAGTGGTTGTAAGAATTGAGTTTTTTTTTTAATCAGTTGCTAACTTGATTAAGTCCACAAAGACTCTACATATTTTACAGTTTAGCCAGTGCTCATTTTCTATATCTTCGTTAACAATCATTCTCATCAATCATTTATATTAGAATTTATTAAATTTATGTGTATGAGTGTTTTGCCTACATCAGTGTAAGTGTACCAGATGCATGTAATGCCCACAGAGATCAGAAGAGAGCGTCACATTCTCTGGAATCGGAGTTATGGATGATAACAATGATTATTAGCCACCGTGTGCATTCTGGGAACTAAAATCAGTTCCTCTGCAAGAGCAGCCAGTGTTCTTAGCCACTAAGCCATCTCTCCAGCCCTAGGCATTTACATTTTAATGGGTTAAAATATTTAAATTTATACTCATATCTTTAGTGAGGCTGAACATATTTTCATATAATTATTAGCTAATTGTATTTATTTTGCAAGTTATCTGCTCATATCCTTTGGCTGTTTTTTTCTATTGCTTGTGTTTTTCCTTTTCTTATTAATTTTTTTGCAGCTCTTATAGAATACCCTTTGTTTTGTGTTGCAAATACTTTCCTCCAGATCGTGGTTGTCTTAACTTTGATTTATATTTGCATTATCATTCTCTTTCTCATATGATTCCCAGTTTCATGTCATGTTTCCCACAAAATTAAGATAGTCTCCTGTGCTTTCCAGTGACTTTTATAGTGGTTACATTGGATTTTGTTCATAGTGTATTATGTAATGTGAAATAGCTATCTAACTTTTCTGCAAATGAATGATAATAATTACTTTAACACTGCTTATTTAATAATTGCTATATATTTAGTCTTCCTGTATTCATTTTTAATTCATCAGTTTATCCAATCTTCTGCTCATACTATTTTTATTATAATTTGGAGCATATTTTAATATTTGATAAAGGTGGCTTCTTCCAAATGTTCCTTAGACATGCTTCCCATGGCAGAACAGTCCCCACGTGAGGCCCTGAGGTCCATCACCACCACCACAACAAACGTTTTTATCTCAGATTTTTCTTAGTGAAACTTAGAATTATCTTGTAGAGTTTCCTAAAAGTCTTGGAAGAACTGAGCACACAGACTACCGAAGGGAGGTAGGCATCCCCGTCATGGCATCTCTTCTCGTCCATGCACATACTATGCCTTCCCAGTTAATCCAGTGTTCCTTTAAGTCCTGAAATAAAGCCCAGC